GTCGTGTGGTTCTCGAACATGATGTTGTCCACGTGTCGGTATTTCTGTCGGTATTAAATTCATTTGTTTCCATGTGATAATCAAAAAGGATAAAAAGGGACAGAATCGTGTTAAAGCGAGCAAAACGCAGAAAAACTGATTTTCTGCTTCATAAACAAACATAAACATTTGACTTTCAATCGTTGAATGTGGAAAATATCTAATTCTGTTTTCGTTTGGGGAAAAAAGCTAAAACTCAGCTTCCTTTTCAAAGGAAAAACCCAAACAAATAAAACTCAAACTGTACATAAAAAACAACATTAGCTACAAAAAATTGGAATCCAGTTTAAAATTAAAGCAAAAATGTAGTTTATCTCAAATTCCGCAGGATTAATGTAGCAAAACTGAAGCTGTAAACAGTGTTATTGGCTGGTTTTGGGCTGGTCTGGGCATATCTGGACTCATTCTAGTCTGATCTAAACTCAATCCGGGCTCATTCTGGGCTTTTCTAGTCCGATCTGGGCTGATCTGGGCTTTTCTGGACTCATTCTGGGCTCATTCTAGTCTAATCTGGGCTCGTTCTGGGCTGATTTGGGCTCATTCTAATCTGATTTGGGTTAATTTTAGTCTGATCTGGGCTCGTTCCGGGCTGGTCTAGGCATATCTGGACTCATTCTAGTCTGATCTGGGCTCATTCTGGGTTTTTCTAGTCTGATCCCGGCTCGTTCTGGGCTGGTCTAGGCTCATTCTGTGCTGATATGGGCTCATTTTAATCTGATCTGGACTCATTCTGGGCTTTTCTATTCTGATCTGGGTTAATTATGGGCTCATTCTGGGCTTTTCTAGTCTGATCTGAGCTGATCTGGGCTGGTCTGGGCTCATTCTGGGCTGATCTGGGCTCATTCTGGGTTTTTCAAATCTAATCTGGGCTCATTCTTGGCTGATCTGGGCTCATTCTGGGCTTTTCTATTCTGATCTGGGCTCATTCTAGTCTGACCTGGGCTCATTGTAGTCTGACCTGGGCTCATTTTAGTCTGATCTTGGTTAATTCTAGTCTGATCTGGGCCCATTTGGGGCTGATCTGGGCTCATTCTAGTCTGATCTTGGTTAATTATAGTCTGATCTGGGCTCGTTCTAGTCTGATCTGGGATCATTCTAGTCTGATCTGGGCTCATTCTTGGTTTTTCTAGTCTGATCTGGGCCCATTCTAGTCTGGTCTGGGCTCATTTTAATCTGGTCTGGGCTCATTCTGGGCTGTTCTGGGCTCATTCTAGTCTGATCTGGGCTCCTTCTGGGTTTTTTTTAGTCTGATCTGGGTTAATTCTGGGCTTTTCTAGTCCGATCTGGGTTAATTCTGGGCTCATTCTGGGCTTTTCTAGTCCGATTTGGGCTAGTTCTGGGCTGGTCTGTGCTGATCTGGGTTCATTCTAGTCTGTTCTGGGCTCATTCAGGGCTGGTATAGGCTCATTCTGGGCTCATATAGGCTATTTCTGGGCTGATCTGGGCTCATTCTGTGCTGATCTGGGCTCGTTCTGGGCTTTTCTGGGTTAATTCTAGTCTGATCTAGGCTCATTCTGGGCTGATCTGGGCTCATTCTGGGCTTTTCTAGTCTGATCTGCGTTCATTCTAGTCTGATCTGGGTTCATTCTAGTCTGATTTGTGCTGGTCTGGGCTCATTCTGGGCTTTTCTGGACTCATTCTTGGCTGATCTAGGCTGTTCTTGGCTCATTCTGTGCTGGTATAGGCTCACATAGGCTCATTCCGGGCTTTTTTAGGTTCATTCTGGGCTCATATAGGCTCATTCTGTGCTGCCCGGGGCCTCGGGGGCCGGCCTACCTGTCTGTTCAGGGTGATGGCGCTGGGCTGGCACTTTGTGCAGATCCCCTCCGGCCAGGGCGGGTGGCCCTCGCAGCCCGACTTTATCTTACAGCTGATGTTCTCCAGGGCCGCGAACTTCCCCCTGAAGAGGAGGGCAGCGTTAGAACCCGATCCCACTCGGATCGCCCACAAGGAACTAGGGGTGGGACGGTTCACAAAATCCACGGTTCGGTTCGATTCACGGTTTTGGGTTCGGTTCGGTATATTGTTGATTGTTAGGAAAATCTATTATGTCTTGTATAGTCAGGTTAAAACTGAAAGAAAAAAGCAGTCTGACATTTTATACATTATTGTGACAGTCTGAGGTTAAAAGTAGGTGAAATTCTGGCGTTGAAAGAGAGGAAACAGTGCTAATTCCAACATGTCTTTCCCTCTAAATGCAAACTGGTCCATACAGCAGACCTAGAAACTGCGTCTGATTTTTATCGTCTACGCTGCTTCTTCTTCTTGTTGTCTCCTACTGGTGGTTGGCTTTGGGCGCAGTAGCGCCCCCTTCTGCTCTGGAGTGTAAACGCTCCCCTCTGAGAAAAAGGAGCAGCATGAACCGAACCCAACACACGCGAACCGAACCGAGACAGAACCCAACGGTTCAGACGGTTTTCAGAAACCGTCCCATCCCTAATATGCGTGATGCATACATGATTAACTCAAAGACGTCTTTTATGTTTTTCAATGCGAGTGGCTTGGGGAACGATCGGCTAAAGTTTTTCCGTAAATATGGGCTTCTAGACAGAGTATGTAGTAACAAATTGACCCTCTAGGGGGCAGTGCCACTTTTGATGGGAGATGAGCATAGACTGTAGGCAAATAAGAAAAAGGGAACGGTTCTATGAGAGAACATGTCGCCGGTAAGACGCACGTCGAAGAAGAACGTAATAAGGTAGAAACACATTTTTTTTCCTGATGAAAGAAGAGAGTCTACTCTTTCTTTTGGTGTGTTCGGTGCTTACATAGTCATAGCACAAACTATTCTGTGGCTCTTGAAAAATCAGTCAAAATGCTCAAAAAACTCTGGCAGTGAGCGACTCTCTGTTCTGAAAATGGCTGCCAGTCAATGAGTTAAAAGATGACGTTCATGTGTGCCCATGTGTATGATGTGGCTCTTTGCAGTAACACAGAAAAAAAAGTGGCTCTTAGTCTCTGACTAGTTGGCCACCCCTGTCCTACAGGTTCTCCACCAAAGGTTCTCCACCAAAGGTTCTCCACTCGGATTTCCCACAAGGAACAGTGTCCTTTTTGCAGACATAACGGCTGCTCATATGGTCTTGTTGTCTTTCTCTCTCCTTCTTTTTATTCCATTTTTTTTTCTTTTTTCTTTTTCATTTTTATTTATTTATTGTTTCTCTCTCCCCCCTCTCTCCCTTTCTAAAGGATCTCTCTCCTTTCCACTACCCTTCCCTCCCCACTGTCCCTCTGTCAGGTTCGGCATTATTGGACATATGGAAGTTTGGTAACAAAAATGAATAAATAAAGAAGTTTTGGGTAATTCTCACTAACAAAGCCTCCCTTGGCAAAGCTATTTTGCTCAGCATTGCACGGTACGCAGATTTCCGTTCTACTACCATAAAAAAAAAAGAACCCGAGGGCGGTCCGGAGAACCGAACCAGACTAGGGATGCAAACGGTTAATCGACTTTAGATTAATTGTCGATAAAGAGGTTGCTCGATCAAAATGTATTAATCACGATTAACCACTAGAGGGTGCTAGCGCTTTACTGTATTTGAACACAGCGTGAGAACGAGAGAGACCAGGGTTGAAAACAAAATGAAGCGGGCGAAAAGAAGTGCGGTGTGGGACCACTTCAATATTGTTAATTCAGGCAAAGAAGTCAAATGTTCTCT